TATATATATATATATATATATATATATATATATATATATATATATATGATATTCTACTACTTGTGTAGAAGATGGAGAAATACCTGCATGCATTGTTCCTGTGAAAACACCAACAAGATTTACTAACATAAACCTCTTAACAGCCTTCCAACACTTTAACACACTAATTTGCAGCTCTACCTACATGAAGTAATCCCAAATGTATTACAACAGTTTATACTCTGGTACTTTTGCTATGCCCTCTCCCTTGACATACTTATTTTAGCATTTTCACCTTCCTCTCCCTCTCCCCCCCTGCTGGAGACTGAACCCATGACATGTATTAAAACTACCACAGAGCTACAGCCATGGCCTCGTTTCATCCTTCTGTAAGAAGCTGATCATGCTATAAATTTATGGAGTGGGTACCATAAGGCAGACACAAAACTTGGTCCTGGGGTAAACTATAAAACAAGGTATGTTCAGTATCTACTATCACCAGTTGCATGGATTCATGTTTGCTTCTGAATGAGAAAAAAAAAAAGACCATTTAAATGCCAATAAAATTTGACTTGGGGCTCTATTACAGAGGTAGCAATTTTATCCAACAATTTCTACTTCCTTCTGATCAAACATTGCCCGAGGAAAAGTGTTAATTCTCTCACATTTGCACACAGACACATGCCCTAGAGGCTCAACCTCAGGGCATCCACAAGTCCTGGAGAAGAAATCCAGGGGTATGTGGTGCAGCCCAAGAAAGCCCTTTGCAAGCTTTAGAAAGGCGCGCTACAATGGAGGTGGCAGAGGAGAGGTGGGGGTGGGGTAAGCTATCTGAAGGAACTGGAGGGGAGGTGAAGGCCAAGGACTGGGTCTTCCAAGTGCTTTGGGGTCAAACCCATATTCCCATATGGCCTTAGTCTTTATAGCTACAGCTGATTCCTGACACTGAAACAGGGACAGGTCCTCTGCCAGAGACCCCAGGAGAAAAAGAAAGGGAGAGCTTCAGGCTTCAAATAAAGTCTGAATTTGAAGGTATTTGAGTAGTTTCTTATACAGGACATAATCAATCACTTTTCTGCAAAGGAAAGCCAATTGCTTGCTTCTCTGTTGTAAAAACTGGGAGGAGAATTATAGAGATTTTAAGAGCATTATAGAGAGATTATGATTTAGTTGAAAGAAACTTATTAATCAATGTCTATACAGAACAGTCTGCCAGCAGAGTCCAGAGTCTAATTACTAGTTATAGATATTACCTGAGGCCAAAATAATGAAATTAAACTGAGGATAAATCATAAAGACAGAAGCATGGCTTTCTAATATGCATACAAAGGACCACAACCTGGAGTCAGTTAGCTATGGCTGCAGTAGGACTATCCTTGGCCTCTACCAAAGAAACTGCCATGATGGGCCAGAAAAAATGTCTTTGCTATCTACAGTGATGCCCAGGAACATCTAACCTTATCAATCCATGCATCCAGGATAGACTTTTAAGTAGTGCAGTCTCCAAGTATTATTTCTGTATTCAGTTGAACACAATTTTCCCATGCATTCCTTGCACAAGGCAGGTGCTATTCTTTATTAATGTTTTAAGTTTGAATACCTGCTGGCTTTTTACAGACCAGCCTGCTTCAGCATATGCTTACTGACAAACGCACAGGCGACGCCAAGGGATTTCCAAACTTGGGAAGAAAAATCTCCATGCCAGAGTGGAACTGCAAGGTTATTCACAAAAGGGAAAAAAATTATTTCCATACTTGAGCAAAATGATTTCCACATCTCAACCAATGGAGTGTACAATGTGGTCTATTGATCAAAGTGTAAAGAAGAGAATAAATCCCTCCAGAATACAGCACAATATTAACAAAACTGTTGTGACCAAATCAACTGGACACAGACTGCCCCTGGGGGCAGCTTTCATTGTCCGTGTCACCTGGGGGTCAGCGCTGTCTCCAAAGCTCGGAGGGGGTTTTTCTGTGAACTTCCAGTCAGGGCTGATGATTGGCAGCTGGAACAACTGATTAGGCACAGCAAAGGAACAAACCAGAAGCCCTTATTGCTTCTGTGATTAAGAGGTGGTGAAGTCCCCAAGGAAATAAAGCCTGGTCAAGCAACGAGTGTATGAACAGTACCTGCTGCCCAGAACAGAAGCCCTTTCCCCTACTGCTGTCAACTCTTTTTCTCATGGGGCCTGGCTTATGGCAGACCTCGACCCTGTCTCCAGCAGTCATAGGTAAAGGTGGCTCTGATCTATGTGCTCTCAGCTGCCATCTCACAGGCCGCTGGGGCTGGGGAAGTCTAGGCTGCCACCTTACACTATTTCAGTTAATAAAGTCAAGCAGCTTCTTTATGTCCAAGTAATAACTATTAATCTGCTATTTCTCGTGGCCAGAACACCTCTGAGGATACCTCACCTATGATGTATTCACCACACGAACAAAGGATGCATGCAGTACTTCAGGGACCCCAAATAAAAGACTCCTTGCCTTGGGCCATGCCACGAGTCTGTGTAAGCTACCACCCACATTACTTGGTGACTGTTTCCATCACTCACAGGCTGGGCACAAAGACTTTCCTGTCAGTGTGAGACCTAAGAAAGCAGCTAGCACAGATAGGCCTGATAAAGTAAGCCCGCCATCTTAGCTAATAGGGAGAATGAAGCAATATATCTCAAGTTCATGGCCTGCCTGGGCAATTGAGTGAGACTGTCCCAAATAAAAGCCAAAAGAAGAACTCATGGAGCTAGCCCATAGTGGGCAAGTCCTTGCCTGGCAAATGCAAAACCAGGTTCAACCTGCAGAATGTTGCAGAACGTCGAAGAATAGCTAGTATGCTATTCTGTTAAAAACTGACGTGAAGCTACACCTCTGTTCGTT